TGTATTCATAGGATAGTGCAAATGTCTAACTATTTAACCCTTATGAATCTCAAATTCCCCAAAAACTTATTCTGCTATGAAATACTAATTAATGACAAACTAACCATTTATAACTAACTGAAAAAAAAAAAAGTATATCACAGTTATATAATTGTGCCTTATTTGACACCTTGCTATTTTTTATTGCTACTTATTTGGAAGTTTTATGACATCTTTTTACTCTTTGTTATTGTAATGTAATGTGTCCAAGTAATTTCCCTCGTGGATCAATAAAATCTGTCTAAGTCTAAATTTGCAGATCAGTGGTTTATGCAGGTTTCATTAATCTCCCAACATCTTCTGATTTAACCAGTAACTACTCCAAAATGGTTAAATTAGAAATGACATTACCAATATTACCATTATTTTCTGATCTAATGAATTTGAACCTTATGAACCTTGTTAAAGCAGAAATTTGACAAAACAAGTGGATCGGGAGTTGAGGTTTACACTTACATGGGTATTTTTAAAAACCTTTAACACGCAAACAGCCAATTCACCTCTGAAAATGAATCTTTCTATAAACTCTGGCTAAAGTGAAGATTCTGGAAAGCTATGGTTTAGCGTTTGCGTGTTAAGTGAGATAAAAGTTGCGACCAATGTTTCCCTTTTGCTCTGTTGATGTTGATGATGATGTTGGAGCATTCAGAGCAGCAGTCACATTTCTTCTTTTGAAATATTTTTCATGTGCCGCCCAGAGCCTTGATGTAGTTATGACGGCGCTCGATGGCGAATTTATGCGGGTTGATGTAAACGGAAACTTATTTGAAAACGATGCTATGTGCACGATGTTATTTTGGAAAACAGAGGGAGGGAAATATTCGTTTCTCAACATACCCGACTCTTCCTAATTTCAGAGGGAGTGATTGACAGGTGGCTTAACCAATCAGAGACACACGGTCCATTTGCGTCAAAAACAAACACAAAAAAGGGAGAAAAACTGCATAAAAAACTGAGAAATGGTGCACAGGGTTCCCACTCTTTTTCATTGACAAAAATTCAAAACTTTTCCATAACTTTACGGCACCCTACATGTGTAGAATTGATCATACGTTTTGGGCTACTTATGAATTTTGTCCACTCTCCTTATGGTTTGGTATTATAGTTTTTAACATTCAAAATCCCGACAGTTCATTTATTGTCGTCTCTTGCAAACAAAAGGTGCAGACGTTTGGAAATAATCATGTTAGCTTAATGACAACTTAACAGAATGCTGTAGTTGCGTTAAAGAGATACTAAAATTCCATGACTTTTCCAGAACTTTCATTGAATTTACAAAAATCCATGGCTTTTCCAGGCCTGGAAAATTATATTTTCAATTTCCATGACTTTTCAGGATTTCCATGACCACGGGAACCCTGGGTGCAGATTTTTACAGAATCAACAACTGAAGCACCAAACTACAATTTATCTCAAAATGAAGAGATACATTTTTTTGTGAATGTTACGAGAATTTTGAGCGTTGGAATGTTCTGCATTTGAGAAACACATGATAGAAATTAGCAGCTGTGGTTGGATCAACAAAGATGAGGTTGTTCATGCTCTACGGTCCAGCTCCAGACTGGCTGGTCAGGCAGTCAGGCAGTTTTTTGTGGAAAACAAGACTTCCAAAAATACAGGGACATTGCGGCACACTGATGAAATGATAATGCATCAGTTTTATACAGCGCTTTTCTGGACACTGAAAGACGCTTTACAGAGCATTATTCATTCACCCCGTACCCGGTGGTGGTAAGTTACTGCTATAGCCACAGCTGCCCTGGGACAGACTGATGGAAGCGAGGCGCCCCTCCGACCAGCACATCTCTCACACACACACCATTTTCATACTAGGCAATGTGGATGAAGTGCCTTGCCTAAAGACTCAACAACAGTTTTTGTGACTGCCTCCCCGCAGTGGCATCTGATTTTCCCAGTGGTCTCCCATCCAAGTACTAACCAGGCCCGGTCCTGCTGAGCTTCTGAGATCTGACGGGATCAGGCTTTGACAAACTGGTGTAGCCACGAGACCACTTAAAGGTGGTTTATGCAGATTTGATCTCAATCTCCCAAAATCCACTAAGTTAACCTCTATCTTCTCCAAAACAGCTCATCTAAGGTAAAAATGTCATTACCAAATAGTGTTTTATTCATCCATTTCATGATCCTTTGTTGTATTTCCCATGTTCTCTACTCATTTGGTCTAGTGAAAGCGATAATAAACATGAAGCTTTTGTCCAAGTGTCATTTATTTAAGAAACCCAGTGTTTATTACATGACTCAACTGCAGTATTTAGCCCTAAGTCTCTTTTTACAACTCTAGTACAAGTTTATTCACACGGCCCAGACAGAAACATACATTTCCATTGTGGGCTTTTTCATTTTAATAATTACAAAATCTGAAGTGTCTGCAAAAATAAAAATACAGGTTGATGACTGAGAGATAAATAGATAAATAATCCGATATCCCATGAAATCTATCAGTCAATAAATAAATACAAATAAATAACATTCAGAACTTCTTTGGCCAAGCCTGGGCCATGGTCGGGTGGACGCCTGTGCAGCTCAAACTCTGCGATTGAAAAAAGATGTAGCTGATGTTCGAATGGACTCCGCCAGTGAAAGAACAATTAGTTTGAGGCACTTTTAAGGATGCTGCAGGAAATGGCCGCATTTCCTAAAGTTTTTCCCAAGAGGAGACAGAAATGGCCGACAAACATTCCATGGAAAACGGAGGGAATGACCGGGTTGCTAATTGGAACCGAACGATACAGAGGGTTGGGAGTCCAAAGAGGGTAAGTGGAATTTTTTGGGAATATTAAAGGTGCACTGCGAACTGCTTGTCTCCTTGGAAATCTTATTGGTTTGCCTGTAGAATGTTTCACAGTATGGCATTAAAGGCGAGTTATTTTGGCATCATGTTACCTTTTATCGAAAACAACGTACACTACCGGTCAAACGTTTTAGAACACCCTCATTTTTTCCTGTTATTTATTGCAATTTAAGATGTGTAAGTCCAAATGAAGAGCTTGAAATGGTACAAAAGTAAGAACTGAACAGCCAGAGGTTAAAAATAAAGATAAAAGAACAAAACACAAGTCCAAGCTCTGCCAAAACTACCTCAGGAAAAAAGATCAAGATCGAAAGTTGGAAAACATGGAGTGTCCAGCACAGTGTCCAGACTTAAACTCCATCGAGCTGGTTTTAAATGATGAACTGGACAGAAAAGTGAAGCAACCTACAAGTGCCACACATTTACGGAAACTTCTGCTCGGGAAGAAGTTTCTGAATAATATTTGATTTCTATTGTAAAAAGAACAAGCCACGAGTGTGTTCAGCTGTTTTATCTGCCAAAAGGTGGACACTTTTTGAATCAAAAGTTTAGAATATGTTTTAAACCATAAAAAATTGGAAAAAGTGTGGTGTTCTAAAACTTTTGACAGGTCATGTATTAAGATGTTTTATAAGTTTTAAGTTAAGTAAGTTTTTTGACTCTGAGCAATAAAAACACCATAATTGAATTAGCGCAAGATTAATAAGTTGGTAACTGTTGAAACATCTCAGGCAAGGTATTAAAATCTCCATGGAGACAATATGCAGCTAACCTCTCACCAGAAAATTTACACAGTGCACCTTTAAATTGTAATGTGTAAAATCAAAATAGTATTATGGCTATGTATTATATTATTAAGTTATTATCTTTATTTCACTGCCAATAGTTAAATAATTTTACCAATTTAAGGAGCTTTGTGAACCGAATGTAAACTGTCAATTATCTAAAAAGCATACTGGAGTTTGCTCAGAATAGACATTTAAAAAGTTTAGATAAGTCAATTTAATATTGAGTGGATGTACAACTGCCTTATAAGTTTAACACTAAAAATGCGCTATGTGACTTGTCTCCATGGAGATACAGACAAAATGGAGTTATTGTGTTGCCTAGAATGCGCCACACTATGGCATTAGAGTTTTACACTCAAACGAATCACCGTATCGGAAACTATTTGCGTCCAGACACATAATTTCTGTGTCCGCAAGCCTTCCCTATCCACACCGCTTTAAGCATATTTGTTTACGTTTTACAGAAACAAAACTTAAAACCGCATGGTTAATTTGCATAAACTGAGCGCTCGAAAAACGGCTCGCTCCTTGTGCGCTGATGTGGTTCAGCTTCTGTCGAACTAAAGGACAGGACTCAGTGGAATATGAGAGTTCTTTCTGTGACAGAGGGGTGTTCTGCTGATGGTGAGTCTGTTCTGTGCTTCTGTCGCATTGGAGATGGTTCATGTTAAACTTTTCAGAGATTGTACATCTGCAGGTCGTATAAATGAATGGACATATATTCTAGCCTCTTAGCATTTTGGTGGTGAATTACTTCGCGGCGCATAGAACTACATCAGCGTATCAATATTTTCAGGCATCCACATGGTGCCTGATCAGTTCTGCATCTCAAATGAATTTGTGGGAGCTGGCTGCACCAGATCGTTCCATCTCTGGAGCCGTTTTCCATCGGATTAGTGTCAAAAAACACTGCATCTGCAACAAAAACGACTCAAATACGTACTAGTGTGGCGTAATAATAGATTTTCTTCGGGTGTTTTGTGGAGTGGGTAAGACTGTTTTTAGTAGCAGGATAACTATGGCCATTGACATGCACTAGTCTAGCACCAGTGACCTCTGCAAATACAAGGATTGGATATAATATTTTAAAAAGTGTCTCCACACGTCTCCAACACTCTGACTAGAAAATGAGATCCTGTGTCTAAAATTCAGGACTGTCCCTTTCATAAATAAAATCTTGATCCATTTAATGCCATACTGTGAAACGCTCCAGACAAAGCAGTAACATCTCCATGGAAACAAGCAGGCAGCGTACCCGCCACCAGAAAAATTACGCAGAGAACCTTTAAAGAACTCATCTATTTACAAAAAACTGAACGCCACTTACTCTCTTCAGCTTCTCCGACCCTGGACGCTGTTACAATTCTGGGACAAAGCATGACTAAAACAGTGCACAGAAATAGTGACGAAAACGATACACAAAAACGTCGTGAAAAAACTGTGGAATAAAACGTCAATGCGTGTTTTCCGTCGTGGTCGAGTCCGATTGAGTTTCCGAATGTTCCCCGAAAATCCCGGCTAGCGTCTTAAAGCGGGGACCCCATTCGCTGAGGTATTCGTAGTCCTCCTCCGGCTCTACCACGTGAGTTTCAATAGAACTCAGCGAATCCGCCACTGACCCTTCGCCTTCGTATGCATAAGTGGCCAAAGAGTCATAGGGAGGAGCAGAATTATCCGTGTCGTGGTCTTTCAATCGCTGGGTAATGAAATCTCGGATATCTGCGCTTTCTTGAGACACGGGGGCCCGCTGGTTTTTGAGCTTGAGTTCGGGTTTGACGTCGCGGCGGAGCATGTTTTCGTTGACGGCTTTGGGGTTGCGTAGCGTCCCCATGTCGAAGGCGTGCGTGTCCTCCTCGCCGCCGCCCTCGTCGTCGTAGTGGATCACGTTGTCGCGGATGTCCTCCTTTGACGACATCAGCGTTTCCTTCTTCTTCTGCCGTCGGAGTCCCACGTACAGCACCACGATCACTGCAAAACATAAAACAGACAAACAAGTGATTAAGGGCTCAAATCACGCTATGTTCGGTTCTGCATTATAATTTTGTTTCCTCGTCATCTTCTCTCAAACAGAAAACGTGCAAATTCCACCTTGTGATGTCATGTGGTAATACAGGAAGCGCTCCATTGTTTTAAACTCCGTACGAAACCGTCTGACCTTGCAGCATCAGGATTTGTTCCCTCTATCTTAGGTGGGTCCTTTTTTTATTTAACCAATCGCTGCTATTTGGTCGTGACGTATATAATGCGCCGGACCCCTCAGTGGTGTCAACAAAGCAGAGGGTGAACAGGTCTGTCAACGATCATTGTCGTTTCTGCGAGGTGAACCTGCAAATTAAAGGTGCAATAAAAAATACGAGGTTTCTACCGTCTACATCCATCTCGATCGCACCACAAAAGGGACACAGACAGGTGCTTGAGTTTGACGTCATTGCTTCACAGCTCTTCGCTGATTGGCCGGTGCACGGTCTACAACTTCCGGAGTTAATGCAAACCGTCTAGTGTATTCCGATTCCTGACCTAGTCGTTGGAGAGAAATGAAATTGAGCGGAGGCACTAAGTGGCACCAGCCTGGCTAGACTATCTCTACTGAACAAAAGAAAACTATTGCTTCATGAAATCACAGAGCATTTTGAGCTTTGGAGAGGCAGACAGACTAATAATAACGGATAGTACTAATAATACAATAAATAATGAAACAAAACACAACTCCAGGTATGTTTTTGAGGAGGTAACAAATTTATAACATGACTTAAAGCTCACAAGAGTACATTCTGTGTAATACAGGACCTTTAAGGTAGTGTTGAGGACAACCTTTTCCTCCTGTGTTCGTCAGTTTCGTCAGTCAGATAAAAAATACACTAATACACTTGAAACTGAAATAAAGATGATTTACTTATTCCAATATTAGGAAGTCATACTTGTACAAGGAGTCTGTGTCGACATTCCCATGCAGAGACTCAATGTTTACGCCTGTACAATGACTTTAATACACAAACTATAGTGGAAGGGTAGCCTGATTCATCAGCCGGTTTCATTTTGTGGAAACCGTCTGACCTCGCAGCATTAGGATTTGTTCAGTCAATGCTAGGTGGGTAGGCAATCACTGCTATTTGGTCATGACGTATGTAATGCACCAAATCCCGTAGAAAAAAGGACAATAACGTCTTTCCCCTTGATAAATTTCACCAAACATTCTCTTTATTCCAGCTTTAAACCCTCGATCTCGGGAATCGTTGCCAACACAGAATGTCTGTCTTCGTCTACATCCATCTCGACCGCTTTGCTTACTGTTGTGCTGTACCACAAAAGGGACCCAGACAGACGCTTGAGTTTGACGTCATGGCTTCACAGATCTTCTCTGATTGGCCGGTATGCGGTCTACAACTTCCGTCTAGTGTATTCCGATTCCTGACCTAGTCCCTGGAGAGAAAGGAAATTGAGCGGAGGCACTAGGTGGCACCAGTCTGGCTAGTGGAAGGCTACCGTGGTTTAGACTTTGTGCCTCGTCGTTGGTGCACAGTCCATTGTCCCTATCAGTAGTTCTTGTCCTATTTAGTAATTTTGCTGTTAGATAGATTGGAATAATATGCATTTGTCTTGACATTTGTCTCTGAGTCTGAGCTGTGATCAGAGCCTCATCTTCAAATGACCTCAGTACAATTATGAACTATAGTAGTGATTATACAAAATAGCTAAGCCTAGTTATTTATCTTAAGAGTAGATTTTAAAGGATGAGCAGAGACACTGAAGGGAGTAATTATGCATTTCTATGTGAATCTGCTGTAGAATAAATCTATACAATATGTCTAAATATATCTATATCTAAAAGTTTGGTTATCTCTGTCTTATAGTAAACTGGTTTTCTGGGTATCGGTGATTTCTGAGAGGTTTCACAATATGAAGAGAGGAAAATTAAGACAGGAAATCCAGCTCCAAATGTAGCGGCACGAGATTTTGAAACTGTTTTTACTGTTGTCAACTGTGGAGCCGTCACTTTGACAAACATTTGTGATGAATTTTCCAAATTACTGACGTTATTTTTCTAGAATTATTGCAACACAACTAAGCTCATAACGGAAAGCAATTTCAAAGACAAATAGTTTTAGCGCAGGGCTCGCCATCTGCCACCTGAGATGTTATTGCTTTGCCTGGAATGTTTCGCAGTTAGGCATTAAACTCATCCACCTCCATGCAGACGAGCAGTTACCGACGAGGACAACTTACAAATCAGATCTATGGAATCTAGCCTGCCGCTTACAGTAAGAATGCATGTTTTTTTTCAGTTTTTTGGGGCAGCACCTGAAAGTGGATGAATGGAATACATGTTTAATGCCATACTGTGGAACATGCCAGGAAAAGTGATAAGATCTCCAAAGATTCAAGCAGGTGGCTGACCCCTAAAAATAAGTGTTACATGCTGCTCATTTAACATTGCAGTTAATCTGGTTAATATTATGTTAACATGACACTAAATATGTGTTGGCATTAAGGATTAACCAGACTGGGGCCACCTAGTGCCTCCGCTCAATTTAATTTCTCTCCAGCGACTAGGTCAGAAATCAGAATACACTAGACGGTTCACAAAAGTCCCAGAAGTGCGAGTTCGGGCACCAGCCAATCAGCAAAGAGTCTGTTTGGTGAATTTCATCAAGGGGAAAGACGTTATTGCCCTTCTTCCTACTGGATTTGGAAAAAGCTTAATATACCAGTTAGCTCCGTCAGCGCCGCATAACATACGTGACAACCAAATAGCAGCAATTGGTTAAATAAAAAAAGTACCCGTCTACCGTTGAGCGAACGAATTCTAACACTGCGAGGTCAGACGGTTTCCACGAAGTGAAACCATCTGATGAATCAGACTAATTAGGGATGGGCATTTGGTAAAATTTCAATAGTTGGGAGAATTAACAATAGATTTTTGATTAATCATTGATCGAATTTTTAAAATTAAAATTATTATCATTATTATTACTATTACTAATCTGCATAAATAAACTCAACTTTACAACATATAAACTAGAACCACTCTAGAGACGCATCAGTCCGTTTGCCATTATAACACATTTGTTTACAATTTAAAGAAACGAACCTCAAAACTGCTTGGCTCATTTACATAAACTATTGGCACTGCTCTTTGCTCTTAGCTCGTAGCGCGGCTCTTTTCATTTCACTCACTTTATTTATGTTGGTCACTTTATTTATTTTGGCTACTGCTGTGATGAAAATACTGAAAAGTGCACTCAACTTTATGTTGCAGTAACCGGGATATTGCGTTTACATGCACCATGATGAAACCGGGACACTCAAAAAACCTGATCATACCCGGGACACTGATGTGCTGTAAACACACTCACTGACTGGTACAGTGTCTCCAAGGAGCCAGAGCCCAAACGTGGGACTGTGAGGCACAACTCCAGTGTTTATGCCAGATGCAGCCTCGTCTCCTTACAGCACAGCAACCTGCATTCGGTTTGTCGATTAAAAATGATTGACGAAATTCTTAACAGTCGATTATCGATTCGTCGACTAATCATGCCCATCCCTAGTTGGCATGTAAATACTGTGTGTGCATCTAAACTCTAATCTCAAATACTAAAAAGACCCATATTATAATGTTTAATGTTTTTACCTCATCAAAAACAGACCTGGAGTTGTGTTTTGTTTCATTCACACATGTTTAACTCACAATTCCTGCATATTTAGGCTGAGTTCTTCTCTCAAACAGAAACACTTTGATGAGGTAAGAACATTATAACACAGTTTTACACTCACGAGAGACAATTTTGCGCAATATAGGACCTTTAATTGCAATGCCGGCTTTGAAATCCTTCTGAAACCCGCGGATAGCTGAAAGAGACATTCCCAAAATATATTCTAAGCCTCGTACAATACACAAAACCATGTACTGGGTGAAAATCTTATCCCCGACTTTTTCATAAAGCTGGTATTCAAATCAGATCTGCATTTCCTCCCAAACATTTCATCTCTCCGCTCGATCTGTCTTTTTCACTTTGCCATATTTTTGTTCATAAATGTAAAACAGAGCGTATGTTTCCCCGCTGGGTTTATGAGACTGCAGCAGGATCTGTATGCAGAGTCACGGCTGGCATAGGCCCAAATGATTCAAATGAAAGAGTTCAATAAATACATTGAAATCGTGCAAAAGACACATTTAAATAGGTCCCATCTCCTCCACCCGCAGCCTCTGCACTTCCTCTGCTTTCTATGACTCCCGAATGGTTTCTGCGGCGCGTTCTGCAGTGCCTGAGCTCCCCCTAGTGGACAAGCAGGAGAGTTCAATAACAAATATAACTGCAGCTCTAACCTATACACTTCAAAAAAAAAAAAAAAAAAAAAAAAAAAAAACATTATATTGATTACAGTTAGTTAAATCCAACCAATCCAACTTTATTTGTATAGCACATTTTATAAACAAAACAGTTTCCAAAGTGCTTCACATAGCAATGCACACATTGCATTTTACTTAAAAAAAAAAAAAGAATTAGGTTTCAACCATAATGAAACTAATAGAATAAATAAAATAATAATAATAAAATCAATAAAAAAAAAAAAAATCATATCAATACATTAAAGCAGTACTAAAAACTAAAATAGATAAAAACAATAAAATAAAATAAAAACAATAAAATTTAATTAAAATAATAAGATAAAAACAATAAAAAGAAATAAAAACAACAAAATAAAATAAAAAAACAATAAAAACAATGAAATAAACACAGAGGACCACACAACTCAAGCCAGAGAATAAAAGTTAAAGGTGCATTGTGTAACTTTTCTGGTGGAGGGTCTTCGAGGACACCAAATCAGACCAAGTTACAAGCCAAATCTGTGGAGAGGCGACCCCGCTCACAGTCAGAAAATCAGTTTTTTAGGTATTTTTGAGCTATAAAAGCACCTGTAACTGAATAAATGTAAAGTAAAGCTGCTTAATGTTGTACTGCGGGACA